CAAGAGTGAACTCTGTCCCATGACCCCACATGTGGGAGTCCATGAAAGGTCAGGATGGCAGAGAAGGGAAAAGATACCTACTATAAGTTCAGAGAATTTTGCCAACCAAGACTTCAAGGCTGGTTTTGTTGGACAGTATGATTCAAGACATGCTAAAAATTTGGAACTTGCTGTCAGATTTCTTGACTTTAAAAATGCCACATGTGGGGCTGGAGAGATGGCTCAGCGGTTAAGAACACTGGTTGTCTTGCAGAAGACCTGGGTTCAAATCCCAGCACCCACATGACAGCTAACAACTGTCCATAACTCTAGTCCCAGGGGATCTGGCAGCCTCTTCTGACCTCTGCGGGCATTGCACAACACGGGTACACTTACCTACATGCAGGCAATACACACATACACATAAAAAATATATATATAAAAAATTAATTAGAAAATGCCATATGCTCCAAACACAGCTATAGACTGAATACTGCTTATGCCTCATGGCCTATAGTATAAATTCCTTATCAAGGTGCCTAGTCTACCATAAAGACACAAACATGAAACCTCATAAAATCTGAACCTTCACAAAAGTTTTTGTGGGCATCTACTATATGCAAAACCCTCTATTAGATAGGTGAGGTGGTATGAGTTTGTAATTCCACTACTTGAGAGATTGAGTCAGGAGACCTTGTGTTATATGTACATACACTCTAGGAGTCAATGCCTTTGGACACTGTTAAAGTGGTATTTGCATGGCATACATCTTTGCATCCTTCACTCAGTTGTGAAGCCCCTCAACCTCTCATCCCACCTCACTTTCCTCCCATAGTACTAACAATTCTCCCAGGCTTCTAAGAAGGTGAGAGGATGCCAGACCATAAAGAGTAATTGTTGGCAGGAATGCTGTGTGTCCATGGCCACCTATGGTGTACGTTCATGGCCCACCTATCTGTACATCCATGGCCCACCTATGCTGTACACCCAAGGCCCACCTCTGCTGTACGTCCACGGTCTACCTATGCTGTACGTCCATGGCCCACCTATGCTTTATGCCCACGGCCCACCTTGGCCCACCTCTGCTGTACATCCACGGTCTACCTATGCTGTACGTCCATGGCCCACCTATGCTGTACACCCACGGCCCACCTCTGCTGTACGTCCACGGTCCACCTATGCTGTACGTCCATGGCCCACCTATGCTTTATGCCCACGGCCCACCTATGCTGTATGCCCATGGCCCACCTATGCTGTATGCCCATGGCCCACCTATGCTGTACGTCCACGGCCCACCTATGCCACAGTTCCAACATCACTCAACTCTCCTATTAGTTTTTTTAGGATCAGGAGATAGTTTCTAAGGCACTTCCTTATTTTAAAAGTTTTTAAGTTAAAAAAAATTTTTTTTGGTCTTTTTGAGACAGGATCTCCCTGTAGCTCCAGCTGTCCTGGAACTCACTATGTAGACCAGGCTGGCCTTGAACTCACAGAGATCCGCCTGCCTCTGCCTCCTGAGTGCTGGGATTAAAGGCGTGTGCCACCATGCCAAGCTTTAAATTTTTAAATTTTATGTGTAGGTAAGTCCACCAGTGTTGTGCAATGTCCACAGAGGACCGAAGGGGTCATCGGATCCTCTGGAATTGGAGTTAAAGGACAGTTGTTAGCTGTCATGTAGGTGCTGGGATTCGAACTCAGGTCTTCTGCAAGAACAACCAGCGTTCTTAACCGCTGAGCCATCTCTCCAGCCCCAGCACTTCCTTATTTTAATTTGTATTTGGATTTTGATCTCTCTTGTGTCTGGATCAGAGGGGCTGGACATCATCTTAGAATAATGTAATGCATAGCATTAATGTAAGCACAGCATTAATTATCTGTTTTTATTTTCACAATGGTTAGAATATATGTTCAAAGGAGAAAAATTTGCATTGAAATTCTTTTTATGACTGTCAATGCGTCTGTCTATAAAGGGTCAGTAAACAGAATACTACTTTATTTTTTCTTAATTAATTTTTTTTTTTTTTTGGTTTTTTTGGGACAGGGTCTCCCTGTAGCCCCAGCTGTCCTGGAATTCACTATGTAGACCAGGCTGGTCTTGAACTCACAAAGATCCATCTGCCTCTGCCTCCCAAGTGCTGGGATTAAAGGCGTGCACCACCATGCTGGCAAAAGAATATTACTTTTTAAGTTTAGTAATTTATCTCCTTATTTGCAATATAATAAAATCACAATTTCTAAAGATAGCATTATAATACAACTAGTTTTTCAATATTTGGAGCAAAACCCAATAAGGAGGGAAAAAAAATCCCTCAAACATGTACAAAGGATTAGGTCCCCTCCATAGAACTCCCTAAGGGGTACTATTCAAAGATGATTTTGGGGGGAATGCATGGAAGAGGTGCAATTCTACATTTGTAATGACATCTGGGAAAAAGTAATAAGGAGGGAGCCTCAGCTCCCCTCTGCTGTACCTTGAGAAAAATTGAGAAATCTTACTATTTTCAAATATAGCAATTTCTACCTAATTAAAAATGCATACAGCAGGCCCTAACCTTAGTAAAAGAACTATTGGCAGCTGATTACTGCTGGGTGAGGGAGAGTTGATCTTCTTAAGGGAGTGACTCTAGATAGGCTGACTAGACCCCAATGGATGAACTTCCACTAAGGGATGCCTGGGTACACTAACTTGACTTTATAGGCTTTAACGTAAATGACAGAATGCATGAAATCTGGTGGGGGGTTATTGGAGGGTGTGGATGGGGCAGAAGGTATAAAGATGATTAGGATAGTTTTTTTTTAATATTTTATTTATTATTTTTATGTGTATGAGTATATTGCCTGCATGTGAGCACACCCGTATCATGCAATGCCACAGAGGTCAGAAGAGGGTTTTGGATTCCCCTGGAACTGGAGTTAAGGACAGTTTGTAGCCACCATGTGGGTGCTGGGAATCGAACCCAGGTCCTCTGCAAGAGCAGTCAATGCTCTTAACCACTGAGTCATCTCTCCAGCCCCAGATTAGGATAGTTTATATGAAATACATAAAATTCAATAAAAACATTAAAAAGAGTAATAAACAAGGAACTGCAAAAATGCATACATACTAACCCTCAAATGGCAAGATTAAAAATGTTCATAGCAGGGTCTGGTGCACACCTTTAATCCCAGCACTTGGGAGGCAGAGGCACATGGATCTCTGAGTTAGAGGCCAGCTTGAACTACATAGCATGTTGCAGGTCAGCTGGGGCTACAGGGAGACCCTGTCTCAAAAAGACCAAAAAAAAAAAAAATGTTTATAGCAGTTCTTTGAAATGTAATTAACTCAGCTGAATATATTAATTACATGTGGCATATTCCTATAACACTCTACAGTACTGAGAATGAACCACAATGATATGGGTGGCTTTCAAAAACATGTTGAATGAAAAAAGATAGACACATGATAGAATGTACAATGTGATTCCATTTATATAATGTTTGGGAAATAAGCTATGGTGCTGGAATTAGGCAGTAGCTTTCTTCAAGTGGCTGAGAAGAGATTGGGGGAATGTCAGTACTTTATCAGGAATTAGAATTCATTGAGTTGTACCATTATGACTTTTATCTCTATGAATATATGCGTCAATAAAACGTTAAATATAGCTTGGTGGTGCACATCTTTAATCCCGGCACTCTGGGAGGTAGAGGCAGGTGGATCCCTGTGAAATCAAAGCCTTCTTGGTCTATATAGCGAGTTCCAGGGCAGCTGTGACTACAAGGAGACCCTGTTTCAGGAAAAAAAAGAAAAAAAAAGTTAAATTATAAAACAAATCATTATGCAGGACAAATTGAATTTCACCCAAGAGCTTCCTGTTTATGACTATGCACTGATGGAATTCAAGTGGATGCTGGTTGCTCTGGGCACAAGGATTAATAAAATACAATTCATACTTTCATGTTGTTCCCAACCCATCAAGTTAACAGACACATTTGCAACTAAAATATAATTGAATAACTGAAAATATGAGCATTCTAATCCAAGTAGGATGGTGCTGAGAGGGCTTCAGCAGTACCTGAGATACACTGAAGGTTGGCAGTGTGGAACTGTTGAGGTCCTATGGTGGTAATCAGACTTAAGGTCCAAAGATGTATCTTTTACGTAAGTGAGGGGAGGATAAACACACAAGTAGCTGCCCCGCACATGTGAGGCACAAATGTTCTATGGCTGTAGTTGCCTAGCTTCAACCATTTGCGCCATTTCTCTGCAAAGTGGTAACAACAGATGCTCAGATTCTTTGGCAAGAGAGACCAGATTTCTGTTAATCCACTAGACAAGGTTTGGCAAACAAGCTGTCCACACATCCACACAATCAGGTGATCCACTGGGATTACCTATACCCAGTGATTCTTTTCCCATAGTCAGAAAAACATCCTCTCTTAAAGGATTGTGTTTCAGTGGACATGGGATTGGGCAATCTTAGAGTGGAAACAAGTGATTTTCTTCTCATAGAATGGCATCTCCTGAACAGTCACAGCACAGCTAAGCCTCTTGCAAAGGAAAGGTGTAGAAGTTCCTTGGCCATGCACAGCCATTGACACTACAACGGATGCTAGGCCAGTGAGAGCTTTCAGGCCTGGTGTACAGTTTTCATAACATACCTTCGCAGGAGTAAGAACTTAAAAAAAAAATAGTCTTGAGACATCTACTTAACGTAATAGCTTCTGTCATTATAAGAAAACAAAATCATGGCTCCTTAGGTACATGTGGACTTTGGGTTCACACTTCAATAATGTTGGTATTCTTTACTGAAATTGATAGATGTTTTATTAGTCTATAAAGGGTGAGTGATTTTTGAAATTTAATTTATAAGCATTCATGTTAGAATTTCATAAAGTATTCTTTCAAATCAGGTATTTCTAGAGTGACTGACTACAACTTCAATGGCCAGTTGCCATGTATTATTAAACTCTTTTTTTTTTCTTCCAAATCTTCCAGTAGACGTCTAGAGTTTAGCTAGAAGTTTTGGCTATGATACAAAACAGTGATGGAAAACATATGAGCAGTAACAAGTTTTAATCTCGCTCTTCAGTACTAACATGGACTAATCTGTGGAAGCAGTTTAGTCCAGTATGACCCAGGGTACAGCCACACGAGAGGCTGTTGGTCTGCCTGTGTTTTTTCTTTTCAGTGTAACACTTTTTCATCTTTTCTTCTTAAAGGGTCTGAGAACATTTACATTGTAGATCAGTAGTACAGGGTGGATAAATTCTACTTCCAAGAAAACTACTCTCTTCTGACAAGGTATGTTTTCATATCTGTATTACATGTTCCAGTATACAATTATTTTATTGTTAATACTAAGGAAACATTAATGTTATTAATAAAAGTTTGTGAATTAGACCTAAAATTTCAATGGTAGCTCTTTAGCTCCTTAATTCAGCATTATAAAAACTCTGTAATTAGAATTATTTAATCTTATGTCTTCATCATTAAAGCTTTACCATAAATGTTAATATGATTGATTTTTAAAAAGTATTTAAATAGACATCTTACATGATATTTTAGGAAAATAACATTACTTTAAAAATTAATGTTAATGAGGTTTGGGTATATTAGATATAATTAAATAGTTTTTCTTTCACCATGTAAATCTATGATACTATCTAATGTTTTTAAATGTGTAAATTATTCAAACATCATTTTTACTTACACATTTGAAAAATCATGCTTTTCCTTGATAAATGTCTTCTTCATTCTTATACAATAAAATGCACTGGACAAGAAAATACTTATACTTATCAGCAATAGTTTAACCAGGTCTATATTCTATAACAGAAGATGAGAGACTTCTTTTCATAAAACCCATACTCAGAATAACAAAAAGATTTCCTTTGTCATTTCCCAAATTAAATTTATTATATCTTAGATTTTAAAAATTAAACAATGCATTCACTACTCTGAATAATTCAAATATAATATAGCATTCTTTCCTGTTAATCTAGTTAGAGGAATGGATTCCAAGAAATACACATGCTGTAAAGACTGAGTCACAAAGAACCTGAAGGTTTTTTTATGTATCTTAAACTTATCTGTTGCTCTAAAAATAAAGTGCTTAAAAATTTTTTTTTGTAGTCTCACCAAGAATCATGAGATGTGAAGAAGGAAGGAAGGAAGAGGAAGGGAGGGAGGGAGGGAGGGAGGGAAAGAAAGAAAGAAAGAAAGAAAGAAAGAAAGAAAGAAAGAAAGAAAGAAAGAAAGCCCAAGCCCCAACTCATGTAAAAACATCGTGCTCCTGTTTTTCGTTTGTTCTTGGCATGAAGCACTGTAGTACAACAGTGGGAAAGAATACAGGCGATGCAGCCTTCTGTTACAACTAACCACTGTATTAAAAACAAGCATCTTGATACCTGACCTGAGGTTTGAGACAAAACAGATTAACTTTATAAGCACTGCAGGAAACATCAGAAAAATGGAGAGGCAGGAGATTTTTGTTTTTCAAACAAAAAAAATGGATGTAGTAAAGAACCAAATGAAGGAGAAAATCAGTACCAAAGGAAAAGAAATAACAGCAAATTCTTTAATTAGAATGCTATTTATATGTCTAAGGTAAAACTAATTGCAGTGTTGTTATTTTATTTTTTTATTTATTATTTCTATTTTACGTATAAAAATGTATTGCCTGCATGTAGGTAAGTACATCCATGTCATGCAATGCCTGAGGAGGACAGAAGAGACTGTTGGATCCTGTGGAACTGGAGTTACAGACAGTTGTTAGCTGCCATGTTGGTGCTGGGATTCGAACCCAGGTCTTCTGCAAGAACAGTGTTCTTAACTGCTGCGCTATCTCTCCAGCCCTGCAGTGTTGTTTTAAAAAATATATTGGATCTATGAACAAATGGTACTGTGACTAAATTTCCAAATGCATGATTGGACTGTTATTAGCTGATAAGGCTGTGCCTTGATTATATCTGCATGTAGTCTAGATTTCTCTATGAGAGATACATGGGACATGTTGTGGTACATTTATATACTTGAGCTTAAAACATACCTGTGAACTGACAAAAAATGTTCAAGTAAAGGAGAAAAGTTGCAAGTGAATCTTTAAACATGGGAGCACACTGACTTATTTACCCAATAAAGGTTTTGAGAGGAAATACCATTTCACTTAGACAAGATTTCCATTCCAAGTCTGCAGGTTAGTTAAATGATAAATAGGAAGTCTTTATACTTCTTTGCTACATTTCTAGTGCTATTATGAAGTCTTCTAAGAACCTGGCCAAATCAGAGGAAATTCTGTTTGCTTGCTAGAAGTCACCTTAAGGTGAAAATCCATTCAGAGAGGTTATGAGCATGGTTGAAAGCCCCATCAGAGTTGTTAGAAAGCTGCATCAGTCTGCTGCCTCCAGGAGTTCTGGTTGCACAAAGCCCGAGATTCTTCTATAAAGAGTTCCTTGGAGGGATGTCTCAGAGTTTTTTCTCAGCTCTAAAAGGCTCTGATTTATTAATAACAGTAGGAGCACTGGGATAAAATTCCCAAGAGTCTTTCATTAAGACTGGGACTTGAAACCAAACCCAAAGTTTTCCACAAGTAAAAAACACTGGCAAAACTGGTCTAAATCAGGAAAATATTGAGTCTTCCTGAGAACAATATACAAATATTTTTTAAAGTCTTTAAAATAGTATAGTCAATAGTATAGCTGCCAAAACTAATAAACTTAACTTTGAACTATTTTAACAAACTCAGAACAAATTCATACCACTTTAAATAAGCAATAATATTAACCTACATATTCTTTATGGATAATAGAAGAGGGTACTGGTGTGCAGTGCTCCCTCTTATCCATGCACTGCAATATTTATTCAGTGGTGAATAGCTGTGCAGCTGAACTAGCAGAGGTGTAAGAGCTTCACAAGGGCTTCTCAAATATACTGCAGAGACCCAGCAACACCAGAGGGCAAATGGTAAATTCCTCAGGGAATCAAGGTTGGCCTTACTCTTCTTTGTAAGCAACTGGGATAAAAGAACACGGAAAGATCATATTTTTTATGGCTACTATTAGACAGAACTAGCACAAGCTAGCACTTTTGGGCTCTACAATATACTTTTTTTTTTTTTTTTTTAACAGCTGTAGGTAGGTACCAGTGGCCAAGGATGCTAAAGGAGTACTTTCACTGGCATTAAGGCAGAATGTTCCAGAATGTTCTGGAACCTCCACCAGGAGGCAGTCTCATAGAGGTGACAGGCCATGAGTATACAGGCCTGTAACTCTTACCAGGGAAAATGTAAACTGCCATGCAGAGCTGGCTGTCTTTCTTTATCAACCAGGGCAATGTTCCTCCATTGTGACAGGTATAGCTAAAACTAGCACTCAGAAGTCTCAATGTCATACTTTCTTTTACCTCAGTTTTGAATAAAGGCAAAGAAGCTGTAGTGAAACATTATCACTCTCAGCAGGAAACAGAAAGGGAGGGACTGATGCTTTAATGCCCCAGGGGCACCTAGGGCAGGATGTGGACAAGAAGCAAGCCCATCATTGTTCTGTTTCCTGGCTCCCTGCCCTCTATACTTGCTCCTTATCCTCTCAAGTACAAATTCTGTTTCTCACAATCTGATCCTGTTCCTCTGCTTGAACCTCCTTTCAGCACTGGGGGTTTCTCTTGAGATCACTGAGGCAACTAGGCTAAAGGAATTTTTTTCATCAGCATGTGGAATGCATAGAAATGAGTCCAGTCCTCAATCCTGCTGCCAGGCCACATGGAAAACCAAGATGTGTTCTTGGCACCCACTCTGGAACTCTAACACATTCCTCTTGTTATGCTTTTTTCCATAGTTTGCTTAGTTCTATATTTCAAATACTTTATATCTTAAAACAGCTTTTATTCTTATACTGGGAAGCTAAAGCCCATATGACTCAGTTTCTATGACAAAAGACTTAAGTGGAAACCAATCATCTTAAAAAAAAACCCACACCAATTTTCGTTTCCTATAAATTAGAAAATGGGAGTAGACCTCCAAACAACACTGGGGTAGGTATTTTTTTCTTTGCCTTCTAGGAGAAATAGATCAGAACAATGTCCATGGGAAAACTTTGTAGCACTCATGCTATCTGGTGCTAAAGAAGGGGTAGAAAAAAGCAAAGTATATATTATTGTCAGGCATGGTAACGCATCCCTATAATCCATAACTAGGAGAACTGCAAGTTTGAGTTCAGTGTGGGCTACAAAGAAAGGCCTTTTCTCAAAAAACAAAACAAAACTCAAGATTGTTTATATGTTAAATGCAGCACAAACTACGCATGAGAATGCATATGCCAGTCTATCTATCCCTCTTATTAGGTATGATACTCTATTTCAATCTTTTTCAAAGTTATGCAGGTTTTTTGTTTTTTGTTTTTTTTTGTACAGGTGTTCTGTTCTCTATTGGTCTTGAGCAGTAATTGAGGGCTATGAAAATGAGGGCTATGAAAAAGAGAGAAACACTCGAATGTCACTTTCAAAGTTCTGGTCACCCATATCTAGCATTAAGAGTCTTTACATTTCCAGATTTGGTATATACAGTGGAAAATGTTACTAATTTAGACTCTTATTTTATTTGGGATGTGTGTGGGGGGGCAGGGGTGTATGCATATATACATGCATGCACAAGGTGTATTTGCCAGCACATGAGAAAATGGAGGCCAGAGACCAATATCAGGTTTCACTCACTACCTCTGTCCCAGCTCTCCACCTTACTTTTTAGACAGTCTCTCAATCTGGAAATCGACACTTCTGCTAGAATGGCTGTCCAGGGATTCCCTGGATCTACTTGAGTTTTCTAGACAGCTGGGAAGTTACTCATATGAACCTACAGCAATGGTAATAGCATACAAATTTAAACCAGACAAAAACCCAGCATAGAAGGGTAAGAAGCTCCGACCTTAGCTGAAACTAGTTAAGAAACTATAATATACAGAGTTGGGTGTGGGGGTAAATGTCTGTAATCCCAATAATTGGGAGACTGAGATAGGAAGATCACCAGTCCAAGGCCTTGCTGCCTACAGAGTAAGTTTGGGGCCAATCTGGGCTAAACTGAGACCCTGTTTCAAAAAACAAAGACTACATAATAACAACAAAAACAAATTGCAATTTGTAAATATACCTGAGCAAAAATCAGACATCAGACAGTAAGGAACCCATGCTTTGAAAGTTAGCGTTGATATACTCCAGATTTCTCTCTCTCTCTCTCTCTCTCTCTCTCTCTCTCTCTCTCTCTGCCCCCCCCCTAAAAACAATGTAGTCCCTACCAAGGACAACTAACCAACTCGATGGAACTTCATTGATGAATCAATGAAGAATAAAAAAAGAAGTCAGATGGTTTGAATGAGATGTTAGACAATGGAAGAAACTAGAAGTAAAAAAAAAAAAAAAAACAAAAAAACCCCCAACAAACCAATGACATTGTGGAAAAAGTGACCAATGATGTGAGTGAGGTTGGGTAGGGTAAAAAGAAATCAGTTAAGGAAAATATCCACTTGTTGTCTAAGAGACCCTGATGATATCCATGGAAAGTGACATAAACATTAGGCAATGGAAGGATTTTGGGAATATAAAGTTAGTTATGATAATCTGTTTTTTAAAAATATTTATTAATTTTCTAATAATAAAATTAATATTTATTGATTATTAAATTAAAAGGAAAAAAAAAAGAAGACAAAAGTCACCTAGGGGTTGGGAATGCTCAATTGGTAGAATGCTTGCCTAGAAAGCAAAGTCCTGGGTTTGATATCCAGCACTGCATAAACAGGGTGAGGTGATGCACTTCTGAATCAGGAGTTCACGGTCATCTTTGGCTACATAGTAAGTTTGAAGCCAGCCTGGAATATGTGAAACTGTCTCAAAGAGTTAAGTGCACGCATGTGCACACGTGCACACACACACACCATTCACAGATTGACCATCAGAGTTTGTAATCAAGGCAATATATTTGTGCTGGCTCTTTTTGTATTTAGAAGTATACTAAATAGGGATTTTTAATATTTATTTCACAGAAAATAATCTAATTAAAAAATATTTTATTATTTTTATTTTATGTGTATGTGTGTATTGCCTGCATGTAGGTAAGTGCACCCGTGTTGTGCAATGCCTGTGGAGGACAAAAGAGGCTGTCGGATCCCCTGAAACTGGAGTTACAGACAGTTGTTAGCTGCTATGTGGGTGCTGGGATTGGAACCCAGGTCTTCTGCAAGAACAACTAATGTTCTTAACCGCTGAGCTATCTCTCCAGCCCCAGAAAATAATCTAATTTTAAAAGTATCTTTGGAAACATTCTGTGGGTTAAAAAACATTTCATTCAAGAAATATATCCTATTTTAACTGTTCCCTTTAACCAACAGAATGTGCTTAATTTTCTTGTATCATAAAGAATTCTGAAGCCAGGCAATGAACGCACATGCCTTTAATCTCAGGACTCAGGACAGAGGCAGGTGGACCTCTGTAAGATGAAGGTCAACCTGGTCTACACAGCAAGTTCCAGGCCAGCCTGCGGTACAGGGAGAACATGTCTCAAAGACAAAACAAAACAAAAAAATTCTGTGATTCTGTGATAAGTGTCCTTGTGTATTGTTAGAATTATTCTCAAGACCAAGACTATTATTAAAATTCAGAATAAGAAAATAAAACAGATCTTTTTGTTTTTTACTTTTTTCAAATCTAAGCAACTTAGTTTTAATTTCTTTTACTGCAATTCATCTAAAGGTGTCAAAAGGTGAGGCCTACACCTTTCAGTAAAATTGGTTTCACACTTGAATGCTGTTATTATGGACATGTACCACCACTGATGGACCTAGCTTTTTTGAAAACTAGCAGTACTTAAGCTCCCTCCCAAAGCAACTTCTGAATTGCTTTAAAAAGTTTTATATATTTAATCTCATACTACCTAGCAATGGATAAGAATGCCATTTTATCACACTCTTTTCCGCACTAGAAATGTATATAACATATGTTCTATCTGTTGAAAGTCTAATTTTACTCAATGTCTCCTATATCCCAGGGCAGACTTTGACTCAAGACAACATGAAGGAGTCTATGCTGTTACTGCTTCTGGCTGTGTGCTCTGCCAATCCCTTCTTCAGCCCTTCACACACAGCACTGAAGAACATGATGCTGAAGGACATGGAGGACACAAATGATGATGATAATTCTCTTTTTCCAACAAAAGAGCCAATGAACCCTTTTTTCCCTTTTGATTTGTTTCCGATGTGTCCATTTGGATGCCAGTGCTACTCTAGAGTTGTCCACTGTTCTGATCTAGGTAAGAATGGAAGTCAACTTTGTTTAGAAGAATAATGCTATTCTGACAAGTTAATAGGAGTCACTGAACTTTCAAGACTTTTTATTCACTGTAAAGTGTTTTATTCATATTCTTGGGTGGAAAGTGGGTGTGGTAGCCCATACTTTCAGTCTATACTACTTAGAAGGCCAAGACAGGATTGTAAATTAGAGGCTAACCTAGACAACAGTAAGAAAAATGAGGTGGAGGTAGAGTGTCACTTATCACCCTGGCCTTGATCCCCAGCACTGCAAAACCAACCAACCAACCAACCAACCAAATGTTTAAGAATGTGCCGACTATAAAGCATATCTACATTTACTTAAAAATTCAGAATAAAAAGAAAATAAGGGGCTGGAGAGATGGCTCAGTGGTTAAGATCACTGGCTGCTCTTGCAGAGGACCTGGGTGACCAGCACCCACATGACAATTAACAGCTGTCTGTAACTCCAGTTCCAAAGGATCTGATGACCTCTTCTGACCTCTATGGGCACTGCATGACATGTGCATTTACATACATGCAGAGAAAGCACACATAAAAATGAACAAGCAAAAAAAAAAAAATTGGGGGGGTTCTTTTTGAGACCGGGTCTCCCTGTAGCCCCAGCTGTCCTGGAACTCACTATGTAGACCAGGCTGGCCTTGAACTCACAGAGATCCACCTGCCTCTGCCTCCTGAGTGCTGGGATTAAAGGCGTGCGCCACCATGCCCGGCCACAAAATTTTTTTTTTTAAAAAAAACAGAATCTTACAGAGGATTTCTTTCTCTTCTCAAATCTAAGCACTTCATTTTAATTTTCTTCACTGTAATTCATCTCAAGTTGCCAAAAGATGGAGCTTGCACTTTCTTATAAAGCTTTACAGTAACAAAATAAGGTATATACCCAGAACAATGAAATGAATCATGTAGATCTTATAAAACCTTTAGCTATTTTAAAGGTAATGTTCTATTTGTTTTGAATGATTTGAATTTAGACCTGTCCCCAAAAAAGTGACTGAAAAAAAGTCTCTTTAAAATTTATCATTCTCTGCTGAGTAACCTCATTGTGTTATGTTTTTGTTGCTGCAACAAAATAAGGGGAAAAACCATTTATTTTGGCTCAGGGTTTCAGAAGTTATAGTCTATTAAGCAGGGAGTGTGTAGCAGAGCACAGTAGCTCAACATGGGTATAGGAGGAAGGAGAGAGGAGAGAGGGAACTAGAGGGAGAGAAAGGGGGAGAGAGGGAGGAAGGAGGGGAACTAAGGGGGAGAGGGCAAGAGAGAATGCCTTATACTAGCTATCTGCTTTTTTCTCTTTTAATCAATCTTATTCCCAGCCTAGGGAAGATGCCACCCTTATTCAAGGCAGGCCTTCCCTTTCGATAAATCCTTTCTGAAAATGTCCTCAGAAATACTCTGAGGTGCACTTCATAATCCAAACAAGTTGAAAATCAAGACTAGTTATAAATTAGCATATATCAACTTGACACCCAAACAACTTTTTAAACTGTAACATTTCATCCTTGGTTCCAAAAGACTTGTGTACATTTTATGCAAATTGCATTCAGTCCATTTCCAAGAGCCCCGTAGTCTTAACCATTAACAACATTCTCAAAAGCACAAGCTGAAACTTTATTCTGAGACACAAGGCAAACTCTTAACTATGAGCCCTGTAAAATCAAACAGAAGTCAAATACCTCTAAGATACAATGGCAGACAGTACATTCCCATTCCAAAAGGAAGGAATAAGAAAATAGCAAGGAAGTACTAGACTAAAGTAAGATAAAAACAAAAATAAAACTTAGCAGGACAAACGTTAAATCCTATATATCCATCTCTAGCATCCAGGGCACATGGTGGCATGATATGAGCTTGGAAATTCTTGGGTAGTCCCTCCAATACGGCCTTGCCAGTTGGAGCCCACATGGCCTCTCTCCTGAGCTAGCTTTGCTCAGTACCTACTACTTCCTGTGACACATATTACACATTCCTAGGATCTTTACAATTCTGGAGTCTTCACTGCATCTTTAGTTTCAGCCTCACAGTTTTATAAATCACCTTCCCAGGGCCTATCTGTGGGATTCTAACTCTGCCAATAATGTCTGGCTTCCTAGGTTTTCCTTTTCTCTTTGAAATCTGGGTGCAAGCCAACACGATCACATAATTCTTGCATTTTGCATCCCTGAAAAACTAGCATAACGAGGACAATAAATTTTCCTGTCAGCTTGAACAGTGGCCAGGCCCACCTGCCCGCTGCTTCTGAGTGTCTGGATGGCTGAACACAGTAAAAGAGTTCCCTAGGCATTCTTGTGTAGTAGGATGACCTGACAGCTCTCTCATCCAAGCAAAATCTTCACATGAACTAAAGACATGACTCAGTGGGTAAGAGTGTTGTGAAGGCCTGAGAGACTGAGTTTGAATCCTAGCACCCATATAAAAAGCCATGTGTGGCTACCAGAGCACCTGTAACACCAGCAGGGGATAAGGGCACAGAGACAGGACTGCTGGGGTTTGCTGGCCACTAGCAGAGCTCCATGTTGCTCAGTAAGAAACCTTGTCTCAAATGAATAAGGCAGAGAATAATAGGATATTATAGGATATAAGAGGATACCCAACAATTCTCCTCAGGCCTCTATATGTGTGCACATGTGTACCCCCTCCATGTGCACATACAGCACACTCACATACATAGTAATTACACACACATATACCCCATACACACAGATACATATACACAAATACATAAAAATAAATTTGAAAATCATTTCAAATGAGTTAAAAACATTTACATTCTTGAATCTGCAGTTGCTAGGGTCTAGCATGGCAGCCTGAAAGGAGGAAGAGGGAGGGAAATGCCTTTGGTAGCTAGCTAGCTCCCCAGCCTTTTATTCTAGTTGGAGTGCCAACTTATAGGCTGGTGCAACCCACAGTTTAGAAGAGTACTGTCCCTTAGTGAATCCTCTCTGGAAAGACCTTCACAGACATACCTAGAGGTGTGCTTTACTAGTCTTCTAGGCATATCTCAATCCAAACTAGCTTGAAATCAGATAAATCATCACACTTTTTTCTTTTTGGTCTTTTTGAGACAGGGTCTCCTTATAGCCCCAGCTGACCTGGAACTCACTATGAAGACTTGGCCTTGAACTCACAGAGATCCGCCTGCCTCTGCCTCCCGAGTGCTGGGATTAAAGGCATGCACCAATACGCCTGGCAATCACACTTATTTTTAAAATGCTTCTGATGAAGGAACATTAAAGAACACACACACACACACACACACACACACACACACACACACAGCTCAGGGAAGGATGTAATGGGCATGCACATCAACAGTTATATTCAGCTATTTCTACTTAAGGGAATACTAAGATTTACTCCAGTATGGAGGCCAAGGTCAGGCTACGGCTCCCACTCAAGGGCCGACCATCCATCAGGGTAACTTTCTGAGCCTGTCTGAGAAAGCATTAAAGTGTCTAGACATTTGGTGGCTCTTCCTCCTTCAGAAAATATAATTCTCTTTTTAGCTTCAACTCATTAGAGGCAGGGCAGAAATAGTTTTAGCAAAATTCATATTATCAGGAGAAGCCTATCTGTAAAACTCCAGTTTCCAACAAAAGTTCTGCATCATATTCGCTTTCTCTCTCTTTTCTCCTTCTGCCCTAGCTCCTTTACTCATTTCCTCTCTTAACTGATTTTTTTTTTTTAAAGACAGTGTGCTATATAGCCCAAACTGACCTCACACTGGCTATGGCTACAAAGATGCCCTTACAGGCATGTGCCACTATGCTTGGCTTAAAATTAAGGTACTCTAATAAACAAAAGACCTTTCAATTTGCTAACTCTTTAAGTTACCTACCTTACCTCTTCCTGCCTATCAGTTTAATTTCTTAAAAGGATTGTTAAAGTATATGAAGAAAAATACATAGGGCTGTGGAGTAGAATGTAGATTTGGGTATTCAAATTTTGAATTTGGGATATTAAATATACAACTTCTCTTTTAAAAGTACGGATGATTCTATCAAAAATATGTAAATATCTGCAATTCACTCAAAAGTGGATGAAAAAGATGACCTGATAGACGGACAGTAGAGCTACTATAGTAAAATTTTGATGGTAGGAAGTAGATAATGAGAACTAGGGTGATATCATAATAAAATGTTGGGAAAAATCAGGAAGGACCCATGTTCATAAAGCATAATGGTTACATAGAATGTACAATGGTACAGAGGAGGTGCACATACTCAAAAAGGTTGACCACCTATGGAAAATAAAAAAATGAAAAATTATTATATAAAGCTTTCTGCTCATTTTTTTTCCTCATAAAAGAAAGGTGGGAAGATGGAAAACTTCAAATCTTTAGCTATTTCAGTATTTACTCAAAAACACAAAGAAGCATGCAGCTGTGCAGCTGTACCTTGTTCTTTTTTTTTTTCTTTTTTTGGTCTTTTTGAGACAGGGTCTTCCTGTAGCCCTAGCTGGCCTGGATTCACTATGGAGACCAGGCTGGCCTTGAACCCACAGAGATCCGCCTGCCTCTGCTGGGATTAAAGGCGTGCGGCGTGCCGCCCGGCTCTCCTCTGTTTTTTTTTAAAATACAGCATCCACCTCTAGTTCCAGCTGGCCTAGAACTCTCTAGGTATGTGGTCTTAGAGCTCTAGGCCTCTCCCTCCCTAGTAGCTGATCGCCAGGCTCCAAAAGGAATCTTTCAATCAAATTCATTCTTTTTTTTTTTTAAATATTTCATTTATTATTTTTACTTTACGTGTACAAGTGTATTGTCTGCATGTATGTGAGTGCACCCGTGTCAAGCAATGCCATGGAGGTCAGAAGAGGGCTTTAGATTCCTCTGGAACTGGAGTTAAGGACGGTTCGTAGCTGCCATGTGGGTGCTGGGAATCGAACCTGGGTTCTCTGCAAGAGCAGAAAGTGCTCTTAACTGCTGAGCTATCTCTCCAGCCCCTGTACCTTATTCTTTTAAAAAATATTTTAGCTGGGCGTGGTGGCGCACGCCTTTAATCCCAGCACTCAGGAGGCAGAGGCAGGCAGATCTCTGTGAGATCCAGGCCAGCCTGGTCTACATAGTGAGTTCCAGGACAGCTGGGGCTACAGGGAGTCCCTGTCTCAAAAAAAGAAAATTATTTTTGTTTTGTGTGTGTGCACGCTTTGCCTGCCTGTATGTAAGTGCACTATGTGTGTGCAGTGCCAGAAGTTGCCGGAAGAGGGCATTTGATCCCCTGAAATTAGTTGTTAGCTGCCATATGGGTAGTTGCTGGGAACTGAATCTGGATCCTCTACACAAGAATGCTTTTAACCATTCCAGGGGATCTGAAGGCCTCTTCTGGCATCCATAGGCTTTATATGACATGGGTGCACTTACATACCTGCAGACAAAACACTCAAACATATAAAGATTTATATAATAAATAATACTTGTAAAAAAAATGACAGCCAGTTAGAATTGACTACTCACAGTAGTAAAGTTTTTAAATATTTTGGCTCTACTTTTTAAAATTTGTTATTTTATGTGTATGAGTGCAATGCCCTAGGAGGTCAAAAGAGGATATTGGATCTTCTGGAACTGAAATTATAGATTGTTGTTAGTCACCATGTAGTGCTGGAAACTGAATTTAGTTTCTCTGTAAGAGCAGCCAGTGCTCATAACTGCTGAGCCATCTCTCCAGCCCCCAATTTTGGGTCTTAAAAATGATCAAGACCCACATGCTCCAGCTTCTCACTACCCCACAGCCTACAAATCTGCACAGAAAGCTAGTATTCTTCAGTCATAAATGCATCATATAAGCTGTGCCTCAGCTGCCTGTGATATCTGCACAAAGATCAAGTCTATCCTACCACCATTTATTTCTCCTTGAAACCAGCCAGATCCCAAGCAGATTCCTTGTAAAAATAAAACAAATGAGGTACGTTACCATTTTTTACAACTACTATGTTACTGGGTAATAGTTATGTTTTTGGGGGGGGGGGATCTTTTTGAAACAGGGTCTCCCTGTAGCCCCAGTTGGCCTGGAACTCACTATGTAGACCAGACGGGCCTTGAACTCACAGAGATCCTCCTGCCTCTGCCTCCCAAGTACTGGTATTAAAGGCATGTGCCACCACACCCAGCTTATAACTATGGATTTAGAAAATGTACATCTCTACAATATTACTGATCTTATCTTCAGCATGAACATCTAGCATCTGTAACATGTTTGTTTATTTCTCAGGTTTGACTTCGGTCCCAAGCAACATTCCATTTGATACCCGAATGGTTGACCTTCAAAATAATAAAATTAAGGAAATTAAAGAAAATGATTTTAGAGGACTCACTTCACTTTATGTAAGAATACATGCTCATATTTTCAAATATTTAAATGAAGATCCTTATCACTGCTGAAATGATTCATTATATTACATTGTATAAAGACATTTACTTTCCTGTAGGTGAAGTATGGAAAAATCCTTGCGTTTAGCCCATTAGAAATTATAGGTCTAATTCAATTAATAATTTAATTCAATCATGTTTATTAACAGCAAGGTAAAAGACTACTGGGATGAGAATTTAAAATCTAGTCAGTTAACAATGGTTACTATTCACTAAATGAATAAGAAAAGAATTATTTACATCAATCATTGATATAGTAAGAAATCTTTATTCAAAACCACTGACTTAAGACATCACAGATTTCTAATAGTAGCACATAGAATATATTTAGTTGGCTAATAAATTCATGTATGGTATCTTTTCTTGATCTTTGGAAAGGAAAAAGAATTTTGCCTTCCTAAATTTATTAACATTGCCTAACAATATGAGCCTTCAAGCAGACTTTCTGACTTAATCTGTAATTGAGTTTGGAGGAAGAGCCTGATTCTACACTGCCACAGACATGAAGATGGAACTCCCACCTGACTTGCTGAGCTGAGGCTGTGTGTGCTAGATGAATAGCTCTAGCTCCATACTATCTGGCCTTGTGAGCCAGGATTGCCTCTTCCAGGCCATTTCTCCATACGCTCAGGTTATGTCAAAGAAAATAAGCGTACAGCTGGTCATCTCCAGAGAAGGTAAAACACTAAGAGGAGAATGCAGAGAACACCATAACCATACTAGGCCCCTTGCACACAGGCCTAGCTGTGTGTGGAAGGATCAAGTACAGAACCTGTATCTCAGCAATAGAGGTGACCTTACCTCCCTGTCACCCTAGGTGAAAGACACACATGCTGATCAAGTTAGAGGCATACTGAGGGAAAGGCAATCCTCATATTAAGGCTGACTAGCAAGGTGGTGTACCCAAAGCCAATGTTCCAATGTTGTACTGCCTGGTAGCTAGACTTTGACTGCTCCTTTGCTTTCAAATTATGCATACAGCACATATTCACCATATAAAACACAGTTTCCACATACAGAACATATACTTACAACAGAACTCATTTAAATATTAAGACAATCAGCAATAACACAATAGATTCTACCAAAGATTCAGTTAGCCCTCCCTCACTAGCTTCACAACACAGAAAATTTTGGAGAACAAAGGTCACCATTTTACCGTTAGAGGCTGGAAAAGATATATGTGCATATATACATATGAAATTTAAAAAGAATTTGGAAGTATAGTCTGAATGCTTCTACCACTTTTTCAAACCATATTCAACTTAAACGCAAGAATAATAACTAATATTTCATTCAGTACCAGAGCCATAAAAGTTTTAGGTCAGTATATCATTATTTTATTTTAGAAATATTTCAGGAAATCAGTAAACATATACTCTTTTTCGTTGAGAAATGATATGCTAAAAGATGTTGGGAACATTCTTATGTCTATTTTTTTTTTTTTGGTCAACCTTTATATTGTATTGTGTGAAAGGTAAATGTTCTGATGTCCAGTGAACCTAGGCAAGGTTCTTGGCTCTACCACTGCCTGACACTGGAAGAAGTTGTCTTACCCTCCTCAGCTGTAAGAAGGGTGTAATAATAGAATGGATTCTGTAGAATGTTTTATAAATGAGCAAATACATATAAAGTGCTACTCAATGGTGGGAATTTCCTCAACTGTTGACCAGTATTACTGTTAGACTAGTTTGAATAGACTGACCAAAAGTGCTAATGTAAATCACTTTCTTTTTAATTTTTTATGAGACAGATTTCACTGTGTTACCCAGGCTGGCCTCAAACTCCTAGGCTTAAGTGATTCTCTTGCCTAACTTTCCAAGTAGGTTTAATAACAGCTGTGTGCCGCTGTTTCCGGGCTATAAACTACTTTCATAAGTAGGTGCTTTATACTTGAAATGCAGGTATACTGCATAATTTTAAAAGTTTAAGTGCAATATCATCTTATATATCATCTATATTTAAAAAGAAATAAATCTTAGACATTCTAGGAATCTTTGTTATATTTCTAGCTGCTTGTTCAGTGCCGGTTCTTTCACAGAAAAGACAGTATATTTAGAGAGTGAGATCCCTGCAAATGCTCAGGCCTCCCTGCTTACTTCCTGCTGCTATTACAGACACACTCTCCATAACTTGTCCTAGTTATGCACACTATACTTTTCTTGTTTGTTAATGATGAGTCTGGGCCGTGTGATTTGTCAGTTCTTTGTGTAAAAGCCAACACTGAAAGTACAAATGACCTGAGGTTATTTTGCCAGCTTATCCTGCCAGGCACTGTATCAGTCAACACTTGACAGAGCTCAACAAAAGTTGAATGAAAGCTTTTACCCTAGTGTTATTACTTATTATTATTATTTTTTAATGTATCACAGGCAAGTCATGTTCTTCAGTGGTCCTGCCTGCCTGATTCAAAGGAGAGAATAATTTCTGCTAGATTTACCTTATGAAGTCAAGCCAAGATCATAAACTATCTTTGTGATCTGCTGAGTTTTTAAATCCCGAACCCCCTCTGACCCACTTCATTTTTCTGCTAACTAAAGGAAAAGAAAATACACTCTTAGTTCTATCATATACTCAGAAAGGAGCCTGTTATGCCAGATGGCACAAGATATAGTTTACCCTCTTTTCCTAGGCTTAAACTTTCTCAGATGAAACCTTAACAGTCATGGTATATCAAGAAGGAGGTTGACGAAAATGAAACACAAAGGCCAGAGACTAAAGTAAATAAACACACTGATGAAAGGAGTTTACTGGGCAGCAGTACATGTGCTAAGGGAGAAACAACTATGTGAACAATCCCAGTAAGGCATGTTGGCTCCACTTGGGAAAATAAAGAAGGACTGCTACATAACAGAAGTGTGGATAAAGTTTATAAAAGAAATGAATGTCAGGTTGCTTGACAGAATCAGACAGTCTATTATTAGAGAGGGACAAAGATGTTTTGAAGATTCTAAGAAACCTGCCATCAACCTTGGTAAACATAAAAAATTATTTCTGTCCAATATAGCAATGATAAAAGAATTGAGAGCTACATCATTTGCAATGTAAATGGTTACCAAGGTTACCAATGGTCACAACATGTTTCAGTTTTCTCAAGACCTTCTCTATTTTGGTTATGAAATACCCATATCCCAGAACCTCATGGTATCAGCAGATTAAAATGGCTGGTCACAAGGCTGAGCCATGAGCCTCAGACATGACATGAAGGAGTCAGCTCGAGAGAATACAGTCACTCTGGCATATACTCTTCCCTGTGGGGTTAAATCTCCTCTGAAGAACACTGCCCTGTATCCCTGAGAAAGAGCCACAGAACTGAGAAGTAGGGGCATTTCTCTATTATCTCCTCAAGGCCTGAAAACATGCCAGAATGCTCAGGTGCTTTTGAAGGTGTTTCCCCTCGCCATAGGTTATAGGCTATATCCTACAGGCTTCTACTCTGAAATGGTCAACATTAGCACACATGTAAGAAGGGAGGTTTTCCAAGTATATGAAGGCATGCAAAAATATACTTGGTGTGCACTAATCTTTCAGAGTAAATAGATTTTAAAACAAAATAAATATTGGTCCCTTTCATTAAAGGTTGGGTGGAGGGTGATGCCTCAATCATGTGAATATATCACCTACAAAAAGATAAAAAAGATGACCATGCATCTAACTAACATCCATCATGAAAGCTTTGTACTGTTCCAACTCAATAGTAAATACTTTTTAAACCTGAAATTGGAAAAGGGAATTTTTCATATTTAATGTACAAATGGCAGAAATTATATTGATTTCCACAATTAATTCTTATAGAATATCAGTTAATCAAATCTACTTCCCTAAATTGCATATTTTTCTATACTTTATCCAGGCTCTGATTCTGAACAACAACAAGCTAACAAAGATTCATCCAAAAACCTTTCTAACCACAAAGAAGTTACGAAGGCTGTATTTATCCCACAATCAACTAACTGAAATCCCACTTAACCTTCCCAAATCATTAGCAGAACTCAGAATTCATGATAATAAAGTTAAGAAAATACAAAAGGATACATTCAAAGGAATGAACGCTTTACATGTTTTAGGTAAGTTTTTCAAATGAATGGGACATCTTCAAATTGTAATTAACAGGCAAATCTTTACATTGTAATTAACAGGTAAATATAGATTATTAACTTTCAAAGATAAAAAATTAATTTTTGAATCTAATACACTATTATACACCAAATACAATATGAAAGAAACTTTAGAATACTTAAGGAAAATTTTTGTGATATTTTCTCTTTTTCAAGAATCTTCCCTGACCCCCTTTGCTCTGTTTTTTTGAGGTGGAACCTGATTTTCAAAAAAATTATATTATTAGGGCCGGGAGTGGTGGCGCACGCCTTTAATCCCAGCACTTGGGAGGCAGAGGCAGGTGGATCTTTGTGAGTTCGAGGCCAGCCTGGTCTACATAGTGAGTTCCAGGACAGCTGGAGCTACAGGGAGACCCTGTCTCACAAAGACAAAAAAAAAAAATTTATTTAATTTAAAGGTAATATGTTAATGTATTATATAAACTTCTCAAATATAATGTACAAAATTAATTCTGATGTTATTTGGGATGCAAATCTAACTTTTGGTTATCTAAGATTATATGGAAGTTTTTTTTGTTGTATAATTTAAACCTTAGCATTTTATTTCTAATGCCCGTCATGTAACTATGCGATCTACCCACAAGAGTCATTCAAAATCCTGAACAAGATTCATACTCACTAATCCACTTAATTCAACCAAGTACCTGGAACTTACCAAATAGCCTCTTATTGGCATTTCTCTAAAATTGTATTTCTGTTAATCACATTTTTTGGAGACAGCCGACTTCCTGTAGCTCCAGCTGGCCTGGAACTCACTGTGTATGTAGATCAGGCATGGACTCAATCTCACAGAGACCCACCTGCCTCTGCCTTCTGCATGCTAGGATTAAAGGCCTGTGGCACCATGCCCGGCTTTAATCCCATAATTTTTTTAAAAATTAAGAAGCTAGGCTAAGGATAGTTCAGTCAATAAAGTGCTTGCTGTACATGCATGAGGACCTGAGTTTAATCTCCAGAACCCACATAAAGAAGTTGGACATGGTAGTATGTATCTATTATCCCAGAGTTGGGAAGCAGAGACAGGCAGAGATCCCTGGAGCTCACTGGCCATCTATGTAGCCTACTTGGCAAGAGATCCTGTCTCAAAAAAAAGAAAAAAAACAAAACAAAAAAGAAAAACCAAAAAACACGAGGTAGTTATGTATAATTAATTTATGTCAATGAAAAACATTATGGAAACAAAAGGTGGATGGCACCTTAGAGATGACATCCAAGGTCGATTTCTCACGCGTGCGTACACACACACACACACACACACGCACGCACGCACGCACGCACGCGCACAGGACAAGAAGTAAATAGATGATCAGTTTTTACTGGTACACTATTACTGCAACCACACCATCATGCTCATGTGATAGAGAAAACTAATGTCATTTATGTAAAAGTTCAAAGCAAAATAAAAATTTTAAAAAGGAAACTGTTATATGCTCCAGTATATAAAATTTAAAGGAGCTGGGCATGGTGGCGCATACCTTTAGCTCCAGCATTCAGGAGGGAGAGGCAGGTGGATCTCTGTGAGAACAAGGCCAGCTAGGTCAGCTATGGCTACAGGGAGACCCTGCCTTAAAAAAAAACACCAAAAAACAACAACAAAACAAATTTCAAAGCAATACTTTTCTGAGGTTGAGAGAAAGAAGAGTACCAGGTATACAGAAGGAAAATGAGTGTGAATGATAAAGATCACAGTTCTAAAACATTCTTGGGCTGTGTCCCTCTGTACTATGAGTTTCTATGATGAATAACTTTGTACTAAACATGTGATTTCTTCCACAGAAATGAGCGCAAACCCTCTTGATAACAACGGGATAGACCCAGGGGCATTTGAAGGGGTAACAGTATTTCATATCAGGATAGCTGAAGCAAAACTAACCTCAATCCCTAAAGGTCTGTGTTTATTTTACTTAAAATATGATGTTCTAAAAAGTACCAGCTTTCAACTAGTACACACTGTTATACTACCATAACTACATTATAATAAGAAATCCTTGTGCCAGTGTATCTGATCAAAGGAGAATGAAATTTAATGCTTTTTTCATATACAAATTGAGAGTCCTATGTGGTGATCTTTTTTGACAGTATTAAACCATAATTTTTTTCCCCAGTGAGAATAAACATTAAGAAGCAATGAACTTTTTATTTTCCTTCCCTTTTCTGACATTTACTTCTAAACCTGTCAGTCTATGGAGTGCTATCGGGAATTTTGTAGAACAAAGGGCAGAGCAGGCTGGATGGGGCCATAACCTATCCTCGAGGTGGATGAACCTGTGAGGCCAGACAGGGGCAGCGCTGGCTTTGGCAAGAATAACATGCCACAAAGAGCTCTACACTAACATTTTCCCTGGAATGCATAAAGAATACAATACATAGAAAGGCTTTTGGACAGTGTTTGGCACATAGTAAGTGACAATATATTCTTACCAGAAGGAGCCCTGCATCTTTAGTCCAGATTCATGGGACCTGAAGCTGGTACTGCAAAGAAAGGTGCTCATTCACTGTGCTAGACAGGTTACTTCCAAATTTGCAATGTGATGACTAGCTGGGTAGGATACATTGTATTTCTTGGAATTCATGCTCACAATTTTGCTTTCCTTATCTCCAACAAAGTTGCTCTCTCTTTTGATGTCTCTGTATATCAGAAATATTCCATACTGATAATATTTTTCAATTTCAAATAGCTCTTCCAGTATCTACTAGTAAAAACAGCAACTTGATCACAATCCCTCTCTACTACCCTAACCCAGAAATGTACAAAACAAACATAGAATTTTCCCAAGAAGTAACTAGTCTAATCCAAAACCACACAAACTACTTTTATTTCAAGTTGAATTAAGGGACTATCTAAAAGAAACCTAATATCTTATAATTTTTGGAATAATGACCCCCCCCCAAATACAAACTTTACCTAATAGGTCAAAAATATACAATCCTAGGGGCTGGAGAAACGACTCAGCAGTTAAGAGCACGGGCTGCTCTTGCAGAGGACCTGAGTTCAGTTCCCAGCATGCACATGGCAGCTAATAATCTTCTATAACTCCAGTTCCAGGGGATCTGATGCCCTGTTCTGGCCTCTGTGAGCACTGCACAAATGGGTGCACTTACATGCATACAGACAAAACATTCATACACATAAAAATAAATAAAATCCCTTTCCTATGATAGAAGATGGTATGAAGCACAAGGAAGTTAGAACATGAAAGAGTGACGGTAGAGGGAGGGGACAAGGTTAAGATTTGATAAGACAGGAGGGAGCAGGCATGCCTGGGAGGATGGCATGGCTATTCTTTAAGATCTAGCTTAGAACAGCAGGCATTGCTATTCCTTCCTATACTGCAAAAGACCGTAATTACAATTCTCTTCAAATTTAACACATGTGCATAATTTTTAAGATTCTATCAGAGCCTTAGAAATTGTGTTTTTATAAAAGAAATTTGAATCAAATTATCAACTTATATAAGTATTCTGTCATGATGTCTCTGACAGCCATAAACCAATTTCTTTTTTAAAAAACATTTTATTGGAGCTGGGCATAGTGGTATATGCCTGTAGTCTCTGTACTTGAGAGGCAGAGGCAGGCAGATATCTGTGAGTTTGAGGCTAGCCCGGTCTACATAGTGAGTTCCAGGACAGCTGGGGCTACAAGGAGACCCTGTCTCAAAAAAGACCAAAAAAATAAAAAAATAATAAATTTTTTAAAAATTGTGGTTTTTTTTTTTCATTTCTTTTTTTTTCTTTTTTTTTTTTTTTGGTCTTTTTGAGACAGGGTCTCCCTGTATCCCCAGCTGTCCTGGATCTCACTATGTAGACAAAGCTGGCCTCGAACTCACAGAGATCCTCCTGCCTCTGCCTCCCGAGTGCTAGGATTAAAGGCCTGGCCACCACACCTGGCTGGAAAAGCACTTTTTAAAAACACCATTGCTTTTCAACCTTTAATGAAGGAACTATACTTAGCTTTAACTTTCTATACTAGAATACTTTAATAGTTTCTATCATTTGAAAACGTCACAAAACCCAGGTTATATTCTCCTTCCCAGTGAGAAAGCATATAGTTTTGAATCCTAAGGGGGTTCAGGCACTTTTGCACCAGGTGATTGCATATTAAGCAAACTAAGGTGAAGTCAATCCATGGTAACTTTTAGAAAAGAATACCTATAACCAGTTTCTGCAATGAAGCCATGACACAGGTGGAGAGGCCAGAGGGTGGATGCAAGTCAATATCTGTACATTATTCCTGTGATGTCCTTTTTAGTCAAGGGCAAAGTGCTCCCCACAAGAAGGCAGCTAGTTGATCATGCTTCCAGTCTTTAACATAAGGAAGAACCAATTTCTTAAAAAAATTTTTTTTAATTAAAATGTGATAGCCTGCATATCACAATTCCATCAGTCATGTAACTTACAGGAGGGTAAAATGACACACCTCCAAGGAGGCCTTATCAGGAAGAGTTAACAGGAGGAGAGTAGACAAGTATCTTCTTTCTTGTTTATATGGGAAATTCTACTGTATCATCCCATAGTGGGGGAGTGCTTTATGGTGAAAATAGACATTCCTATTCAAAGACATGTTAATATTTGTCAGCAGTTGCTGGGCTTCTGCTAGATTCACATCTCCTCATAAACCTCTGTTCATGTCTGTCTTAGAGACTGTATCCCATTTTCCTCACTGGTCACTCACCTTCTTCATATCCTAAGGGATACATAGTCCCTTCAAGTTCTTCCAGAGAGTTTGCTCTTCTCCAGCTTCCTACAGTTGACTCTAGAAAAGGCTGGCAGAGTACACTCTCTAGTAATTTCTATATAATGATGATCTTTTCAAAGAGAATGTTAGGTTTTCAGAGACAGAACCTTTGTCTTATATACTGAAAGTATCATATAGTCATTGCATAAATGTAATAAAACTCAGTCAAAATTCAAGAAACTAGAAACCTGTCAGTTGAGAATAATTATTTTTCTGCTCTCTAGTTTACTTGCAAATTCAAAGTAAACTTTGGAATAAAAATAAATTTAGCCATAACTACCGAGAATCACTGAGGCTAGAATCAGGCTTGGGTACTAGCTATTGCCTTAGTGTGCTAGAGTCCTCAAAGGATACTGGCAGTGGGCTTTGTGACACAGTCAGTAGGTGACATGTGGAGGAAAGGGGCTACTAAGAATCTTGATATATTCCAATTATATCCATCAGCTTTTATCATTAATATAGTAAGGAAATGTTTAGGAAAAGCTGAAAACAAGGGGGAAAAACAAGAAAGCCTTTCTCAGCTAAATAATCAGAATCTTTTAAAAAAATATTTATTATTTTATGTGTATAAGTGTATTGTCTGCATGTATTGTAAGTGTACCTGTGTCATGCAAAGCCAGAGGTCAGAAGAGGGTATCAGATACCTTGTAACTATAGTTACAGACAGTTGTTAGCTGCCATGTTGGTGCTAGCAAGAGCAGCCAGTGCTCTTAACCATTGAGCCATCTCTCCTGTCCCCATGATTAGAATCTTAAGTCTCCTCTTGAGTTTCCTGCCAGCTTCTGTTCAAATGGAGAAGACACCTGAGTGTGAGAAGAGCAAGAAAGAACATTCACTGGGCACTGTCATGTGTTGGAGCATTGCAGCTGCACTTCTTCATTTATAAAACAACTTATTAACTGAAAGAATAAGTGCTGCAATGAATTATAAATCTCAAGAAGAGTAAAATTTCATATATTAGTAATGATGTTAAAAAACTAAACAAAACATAGGGCTAGAGGGATGGCTCAGCAGTTAAGAACACTGGTTGTTCTTGAAGAAGACCCGGGTTCGAATCCCAGCACCCACATAGCAGCTAACAAGTGTCTGTAACTCCAGTGCCAGGGGATCCGACGGCCTCTTCTGACCTCCGTGGGCACTGCACAACACAGGTGCACTTACCTACATGGAGGCGATACATACATACACATAAAAATAAAAATAAAAAAAATAAAACGAACATCTTAACTAGTAACCTCTGGGCATTGCATGAATTTATTACCTGAAAGAATCAAACTTTTCTGGTGCCTTTTCTGTAAAAACAATACTACAAAATAATTAAATGACCAGGAAAAAATTGAAGAAAGAATTCTAGCTAATAAATCCATAAATAATGACAATATCAGAAAGTCACTACAGTCAAGTACAACGATGTATCTGTAGTCCTATTTGGGAAGCTAAAGTGGGAGGCTGGCTTGTACCTAAAAATTCATGGCCAAGCTGGGGATCATAGAAAGGCACCATCTCAGTCAGCCAACAGTTTTCAATTCCTGTTAAAGAATAATTCAAAGCAACAGCCACAAATGAAAGCCAAAACCATCAACTGAAAGGTGACTTACCTGCATTTGATTTTTTCTCTGTATCTGAGGGCCAGGTAAAAGAAATAAGGAATCAGGATCACTTAGAAGCTGTCAGTCAAATCCACAAAATGAATTCTCAAACAAATCAGTATCTCAAATCAATAGAAGAGAAAAAAATAAAGAATATGTTATAGAAAGTGTGTGTGTGTGTGTGTGTGTGTGTGTGTGTGTGTGTGTGGTTGGTAATCAAATCCTGGACCTACCATTTAGCTACAGTCTTTTGATTTGTTTGCTTTTGAGAAAAGGTCTCATTTTGTTCCTAGGCTAGCCTTGGATTTGAAATCTTCCTGGCTTTCAAGTGCTGGGGACATAAGTGTGTGCTATCATGTCCAGAGAAAGGAGACTTTAAAAGAGATAAAAATTGAATGTATTCTGTAAATTTTATTTAGATCCTGATTTGAACAAATCAACTGTAAAATAATATATTTAAGACAAATGGGGAAAGGAATATTATGATAGTAAAGAATTAGTTAATTTTGTTAAATATGATATTGCTAAGGTGGTTATATAAAAACAAAACAAAAACATGACCTTACTAGACATCTGGAAATGTATTCACAGGTAAAACTGCACTATGTACTACATTTTAGTTGTAAAACTTCAGCAAAAGAGTGACTAAGCAAATAAATAAATGGGGTAGATGAAATGGAAAATGGAGTTAGTCATTGAAGCAGGACAACAGCATGATGGATCATAATACTTTTAATTTTTATGTATGGTTGGAAATTTCTATAGTGAAAGGATTTTTTTTTAAAAAGGCACTTCAAATAATTGCTTAAGTACACAATCTGAAACTTGATAAATAGTCACTGGGACTTTGCCTTCATCTAACATACTTCTTTTAAAATTAGGCCTGCCATCAACTTTACTGGAGCTTCATTTAGACTTTAATAAAATTTCAACAGTGGAACTCGAGGATTTTAAACGATACAAAGAACTGCAAAGGTAAAAGTTCCCCAAGTCTTCACTGTAATGTGGTAGCCCATATGTTTAAAATATTAATGAAGCTTTTCAAGAATGTGTACAGGGATGCTGGTTGAGAGAGTGTAAAGGGAAAACAAGAGAGAAGCACTGCCGTTACTGCCCATACAAACAGGTTCATATCCTAAGTAGGGTTGTGGGGGTTTCAGCAAACTCTATCAAACCTAGCTATCAGCTTAAGAACTAACACATTTTATATCATCTCTAGGCTGGGCCTTGGAAACAACAGAATCACAGATATTGAAAATGGAAGTTTTGCTAATATACCACGCGTGAGAGAGATACACTTGGAACACAATAAACTGAAAAAAATTCCTTCAGGATTACAGGAGTTGAAATATCTCCAGGTAAAACATTCTACTTGTTTCATAGATATGGGCACTTTTCTTTGTTTTTATAGAACATGTCATTGCATCTCAGACAATAATTCAACAAACAGAAGGGAAACTCAAACAATAATGACTAAAGATTGCACGGGTAAGGATAAGCATAAGGAAAACACATTCTACAAAGATGCTACTCAAGAAGATGAGGACCCTTTCCATCTGTGCTTTCACACAGATGTGGCAAGCTGATGACTAATCTAACTTCAAGTTGTTGAAGTTTCTAAAGTAGGACTGTCAAGACATCAAGCAGGATCATATGTTCTTTCATTTTAGAAATATTCCACAAGGCAGAGAAAGAGGTTTAGGATCCATCAGTGTGGTGCTAGGTACACCACACTGTTAGATGTAGGTATACAGTTTTTAACATTCAAATCAGAATATGTAATTAACTGAAAGTCACTATTTAGAGCATAAGACGTTCATGCTGTGCTGTAGATGTAGCTCAGTGATAGATGTGTGAAATTTGAGGTTCAGTTCCCAGCACCCTAAACCCCTATAAATTTAAGCACATTTTGTCATCTGCTGCTGGCAGAAGTCACAAAAATTAAAAACAGTATTTTGCAAATAATTCTAGAACTTTCAATTTCTCTGATTCTTAGATAACAGCTATCAGATGAAGAATCCCTATGTAATATATGTTATTTTAATTAATTTTTCTCATGGCTTTTCCTTGCTGTGCAAAGGGTTATCTTTCAAAAGAAAGCAGAACAAAATTGAACAAAATTTGAGAACTGTATGTGCTAGATTTCTGTTTTTTTTTAATTTTGTTTTGTTTTATTCTTTTGAGATAGAGCCTGCCTCACTATGTGGCCCAGGTTGGCCTCAAACTCACCATGTAGTATAGACTAACCTTGAACCCATCATCTTCCTGTTTCAGCCTCTTGAGTGCTAGGATTACAGGTGTGTGCCACCATGCCCAGCTTTTTTTCTATCTTTAAACAAGTTTGGTTCACTGAACTCCTTGGAGCCACAAGCCACTGAAGAATGAGCTGTTAATAGGTGTGGATCTTGGGCTTTCACATGTCTGCACATGGACATCAGTCAGATGCCAACACAGCCTGATCTGCCCTACCTCAAGACTCCCCCCAATTGCACATCTGCAAATCTACACCACAACTTAGACATTTTGTCTTATTGTCACCTAACACGCTACTCTGAGAGGAACACAAGTCCAAAGTGGATAACAAACACCCACAGAGTAAACATATCCACAGCTAGCTTGGTTTTTACACACTGTGAACTCACTGCTGTATCTTGATCTGGTATTGAGCAGTAAGAGAAATGTAGAGGAACCAATATAAAGTATCTGTCAAAATATCCCAAAACTGATGTAGAACAAAGAAGACCAAGCATAAACATTTTTAGTAATGTCTATGGATTCTGGATTCATGATCAGGCTGAAATTAATCTTAGTAAGTGAAAGCAGATTCAGTAGGTAACAAGGGTAAATGTCAATATTCTAGCTTTGCCAGTAAAGGCTCTTACTTTTTAATATATCAAAATACTGTCTGTTATATAGGCTGCATTTACTTCCCAGAAATCTCACTGCTCAATAAGAGGCCAAACAAGGAATAGAAAGCCCATTAATGAGAATGAAGTTACTATATTCACAATTCTAAATGAATAATAAATTTTCAAAGATAGCCTATAAAACTGATTTTCTCACTAATACAAAATTATGATTCAAATGTTGGTACTGTATTAGAAATGTGTATTCAAGATATAAGACAGATCTTTCTTTAAAACATACAAAAAGCAGCCCTATGTATGTTTCTTCCCCTGACAATAGTAAATGCCAGCTAACATTTTTTCAGTTAAATTGGGAGTCAAATTCTTGAAGAACTGAATTTGATTCTGCTGTTAATTTCAAATCTTTTTAAACAAATTAATATAAATATGGCATAGAAGAAAGTATTTGTATGAGGTGGGTGAAGTAGAAGGGAAAAGCAAAGTAGCTAAGGTGATCAGGCATTATGCTCTAGGTCTTGGCAATAGTTCTATGTAGCATACCCTTCCCCAAAACATTTTTTTGCATAACACATAAACTTGACTTGTTAGGACAGATATTTAACATGCATAAATGAGTCCATATAACTTATGAGAAAATATATTCATGCAAATGCCAAGAATAGAAAGAATAAAGCCATAAACAAATGCCAACTATAGCCAAGAATGATGGTGTATGCCTTAATCTCAGGCATTCAAGAGGAATTTAAGGTCAGCTGGGAAACTTAGCAACAATTTGTCTCAAATAAAAATAAAAAGTGTTAGAGGTGTAGCTCAGTGGTAGACTACTTCTCTAGCATGCATGAGGCCTTATATTCAAGATTTGGCAAGCTTCACTCAAACCTATTAACGAAACACCTGCCTTTTATATTTAATAGTCTTTTAACATTTATTCTTTTTTCCCCTACAACAGATAATCTTCCTTCATTATAATTCAATTACAAAAGTGGGGGTGAATGACTTCTGTCCAACAGTGCCAAAGATGAAGAAATCTTTATACAGTGCAATAAGCTTATTCAACAACCCAGTAAAGTATTGGGAAATACAACCTGCAACTTTTCGGTGTGTGCTGAGCAGAATGAGTGTGCAGCTTGGGAACGTTGGAAATTAATAATTAATAATGTCCATTGAATACCAAATTCAAAAATTCATACATTTGGAATACTTGAACTGTACTAATAATGGTAATATAGTAAACATAAGCAAAGATCTATCCCATTCGGTAAATGACAAAAAATTTCAACAGAATTTTGCCAAATTATTGATAAACTGAGATTCGCAGAATAAACATCTCACTGCACACAAATGAATGTGCATAAATCTCTTGCTTGAACATTCTTTCTGAGTAATAAAGACATTCAGCATTTAACCCTTTGTCTAGTGCATCTTAAACAGAACTGTACTGTAAATGGAATGCTTGACTTAGTAAAATTTGTGCCCTTTCATCAAGAAAAGTAATATGAAAAGCACATTGTATTCTTAGTATTTCTTTAATAACTTGGGTAGTACTGTAATATTTCTTATCATGTTGAAATATGGTTTGACATAGTCATATTAAAATTCTCTAAAATTGCCGGGCATGGTGGTGCACACCTTTAATCCCAGCACTTGGGAGGCAGAGGCAGGTGGATCTCTGTGAGTTCAAGGCCAGCCTGGTCTACATAGTGAGTTCCAGGACAGCTGGGGCTACAGGGAGACCCCGTCTCAAAAAGACAAAAAAAAAAAATCTCTAAAATTAGCTTCTTGTAATAAAACTTCAAATATGTGTTATCAACTCAAAAGAGTTGGTTATAGAGCTATAGCACATTATTTTCTTTTTTAATTATCTGATTATAAAACTGCAAAAATGCATAATGGATATTCATATAAAATATGTAATGTATATTTTTATGATCAGTTATAAGCTTGTAATAGCATCAGTTATTAGGTTATATATAACTGTCACCTCAACTAGCAACATTCTAGGATGTCCCTTTGGAAGAGTATGGACACCAATAAATTCTACACCAACTTGTCTCATCTAACATGCACAGACTGGATAACTCTGTGAAACAGCTAACCTAACTGTATAGGCAGAGCAACAAAGAAACCAAATAAAACCTGAAAACTGTACAAAAGTTACGAGTATTTTCATGTGTTTTCATTATTGGTATTCAATATACATTAAGTGAAATTAGAAAAAAAGAAAATATCATTAAAATATTGGTTTTTAAATTTAAAAAGGTGTGCTTTGGTTCAATTTGTTTTTTCCCACCCAGGAATACTATTTTTTCTAAAACTGATTTATATGTAACATTTTTGGACCATCAATAATATTTACTCTTTTTCTTTGAGACAGGCTCTCATATGTAGCCCTGGCTGGCCTGGAACTCTCAATATAGACCAGGTTGCCCTAGAAGTCACAGAGATCTGCTTGCCTCTGCCTAAAGGTGTGTGCTACCACCACCAGCCTAATATTTACTCTTAACAGTACTAAAACACACCATATAATTCCTGTACTACAAAGGATATCATCTTTATTTTAAACTGCCTCAAAATCCAGACTTCAAATAATTTTAGGGGGTGGAGGGAAAACAATTATAAATATCTAAGAAGGGGTGGAGGGCTTGAACATCGAGGTGAAGAATGGATTAAATAATGTCTCATTCTTCACAGCCAGGTTACTCAGCTTTGGCAATACTGATACTTTGGGCCATCATTCTTGGGGGTGGGGACTACCCTACACAATGCACAATGCTAGCAGCTTCCCTGTCTCTACCACTGGATGTCACAATATCTGCATCTTCCACCTGCCACCATAGTAGAAATTAACAATTGTTCCAAGAATTGGCCAATGTTACTCTGGGAGGACTGGGAGATAAGAGAGCAAAATCTCAGCTGGCTAAGAGCAACTGCTTTATAAGAAATCAATTTAATATCTAAGATGACATAAATTAGGAAACCTGGAACAAAACTGCTGCTTTTGTAAAAACTGTAGTGGGAGGCACAGTGAGATCAAAAAGGTTTATGACCAGCAGAGATGGTATAGAAAGAGGAGTTTAGGGCTTCAAATCGGAAATTCAGTCCCATTTATGGTCTGGGGTAGGTTATCCCCTCTTAGAGCCTGAGTCCTCATCTGCAGATAATCATAGAAGTGACAATACAGACTAATGAAGTTGTTATGATGAAATAAAAGTGTATGTGAAATGCTTTGCAAATCATACATGTTCATAAAACATGAGGAACTACTATACTAGATAACTGGACAGAAGAAAATGTAAGATTAATAATTCCTTAAAAATAAAATACTATAAAAGCAATTATTTTAAAGTGAAAACATTTAAAATATTTTAATTTTCACTTATGTGTATATGTATATATGTGTCTATGTCTGCTATGTTTGTGAGGGTGTCTATGAAGGCCAAAAGAGAATGTCAGATCCTCTGGAGCTGGAGTTACAGGCAATTGTGAGCCATCTAACATAGGTGTTGGGAACTGAATTCTGGTCCCCAGGAAGAGCAGTGAATGCTCTCAACTGCTGAACTATCTTTCTAGTCCTTCTAAAATTAAAACATTTTAAAGTTGCAATTATTTTAATGAAATATGTTTTCTACAATGTAATAAAAATAAATTGTGATATCAAAGCACTGATAAAAATATATGTAAATGTCAAATGTTTAATAACATTGAAAAAATGTAGTTCTTAAAATTAGTTATCAAAATCATGAGGTCAACAATAAGGTCAGAGTCATCTCAACAGATAAGTCTCAGATGAAAACAGAAGAGCTTAAGGAGTTAATCTTTTTCTAAAAAGAAAAGACAGGAGAAAAAAATTTAACACTAAATAAATGATTACTGAATCCTTGTAATTAACTTCGGGCAGTTTATGTTCATGTACTCCAACTCATAGCTGTTAGCCATTTTTTATCTTAAGTTGACAAAAAAAAACACATATCATTAATAAAAATCATAAGCCACAGAACTCATTGAAGTTTTCTGACATAACACATTTTTATGGTAAATACAAAATACTGCCCACTTGAAATCCATTAAAGATTGAAAACAAGTGAATTACTATAGTTTACTAGGCGAACTAAGGACTTAAAACAACAAAGAATCTCAATGATCAGCCAGGTGTGACAGCACACGACTTTAATCCCAGTACTCAGGAAGCAGAGGCAGGCTGTTCTTTATGAGTTTGAGGCCCGTCTGTATTCCATATAATCAGTTCCAGGCCAGCCAGGGCTACACAGTTAGACTCTGTCTCAAAACCAACAAAAAAAAAGAAAAAAAGAAAAAGATCACTTATTGAAATAAGATAAAAATTATTATTATTATTATTATTATATTATTATTATTATTTTGGTCTTTTTGAGACAGGGTCTCCCTGTAGCCCCAGCTGTCCTGGAACTCACTATGTAGACCAGGTGGCCTTGAACTCACAGAGATCTGCCTGCCTCTGCCTCCCGAGTGCTGGGATTAAAGGCGTGCGCCACCATGCCCGGTGATAAAAACTATTTTTAAGCCTCATTTCTGTTTGCTCTTGAGCCACCAAATGATTTCTCCTTTGTTTATAATTCTCACTGTTTTTGCATGTGTCTATGTGCGATGTGCATGCATGCATGTCTGTTCACATGTTTGCAGGTGTAAGTATGTATACACATGCACATGAAGGCCCGAGGCTGACAGAGATCTTCTAACATGGCTCTCTATCTTATTCACTGAGCCAGGATCTCTAAGCTAAACTCAGCAGGTCAATTCTGAGTCTATCTAGCCAGTTTGTTCCAGGGATCCTGTTTCTGTCTTCTGGAATTATAGGAGAGCTGCCAAGCCCACTCAGAATTTACTTAAGTTCTGGGGGTCCAAACTCTATTCTTCACATTTGCAGAACAAACACTTGACCTGCTGAGCCATCTCTCTAGCCTTCTTTCACTTTTAGAAAGAATTTTTAAGTTCAACTTTCATTAACTTCCTATTTCCCTGAAGCCTTAACCTACTTCACTTGACCTAACAATTCCTGTAAATCTATTTTCCCCAAATCATGTTATATAAATAATGTAAAATATATATATATATATAATAGCTGATACTTAAAGAGTATTTTTAACTCTACCAAATGCCTTACTTGCACTCATTAATTTGGGCCATAGAATAGTTCCATGAGTTGAATATCTTTATTTATATCTGGTTTTTAGGTGTGGGAACTAAGGAAGAAAGATTTAAATAACCAGAGGCACAGAATTTGAATCAAATGTCTCTATCTATACTTTAGCTATACTATTTCTTCCTGGTGTGTTTTTATACTTCTAGGAATTGTTTGCATACTTGGCTAAGACACCATGCCTTTCTAGCTGCTCTTTTTTTTTTGTTTGTTTTGTTTTTTGTTTGTTTTTTAATCATTATTTTTTTATTTTTTTTTTCATACAGAAGAATTCATTCCAAAGCAATTGACATTGAGACGTTTTCACATGCATTTCTAATCTCTATATACATGACTATCACTGGTCACAGTCGCCCACCTTCTGAGCTCCTCGGCATCTGAGCATGAATACAAACTCGTCAGATAGACAGCCTTCCTCTCCCACTAGAGGCTCCATACTCTGCCATCCCTGTCACTGTCCACTGTGTTGTCAGCACCCT